CTTCTTAAATTCTTTCAAATGACCTCTCAAAATTATCCACATTGAAATCTTAATTACTTTTACATTGTCTAAATTATTTAAATCTCAAATGGCTTTAAGACAAAAATGTGACTTCTATCCTCTTAAAGCTATACAACATTATCAAAATTTTGTATAGAATTTGTATCAATATCTTCAAGATAGTTTCTTATAAATTTAATTTTAAATAAAACCAACCTTTATCTTAAATAAAAATCTAAGTTTAATAGATCCTCATATATACTATTATAACTATACCAACTATAGTTAAAATTGTTTGCATTAGGATTCCATATCCTTCCTACAAAATAGGCAATAACAACAATTTAATCAAAATTGAACTTTGGCTTTCACTGTTGCATTGTCTATTGCCACCTCTTTGGAATTTGTACCCACTAAGAAGCTTGAGTAACATTTGAAAAAACTAAGAAGAAGGATCTTACTTAATATGCATCTTAGTTGGATGTAGACAACTACTTGCAAATGAACTTTCATTGATTCCAATAAATCTTGCATATCTCATATGATTAGATGTGTATACTCTAATCTCACATTGATTACTTTAATAGATCACAAGGATTGATCACCTTCACTAAAGTAGTTGATTCATTGTTAACCACCCCTCTTATTTCCAACCTATAGGGTGGAGTATTTCCACTAGACTAGTGCCATAATATCAACTATTTTTGATATTTTGTGGTTGGAAATAGATCAAGGCCTAACAAAAATGATGTTAAACTATGAGCAATACAAACAATTCAATGTACTCAAAATCAATGTACATAAATTGTCAAAAATTATTTTTTGCATTAATAGAGTTGCACATATGTGGTGCATGATTATGCATCAGCAAATCAAAGAGTTGTTGGAGCAAGATTGAAAGATAGAGGATGTGAGAAGTATTATTTAAAGATAAACAAAAATAAGGAAGGATGGTGGCAAAAATCCAACTTGGACATGGTGAATTACTTGTAACTAGATGTTTGAATTTTTGTTGCCTCATCAACAAATTTACATCTATAATTGGTATGGAATTAGGTGAAGTTTGATAGCATAATTAGGTGCCACACTAAATTTACCCTACCCTCTGTAAATTTGGTCGCAGCTTTTGTGCAGGAGCAAGAACTTATCTTGCAGTGGAACTTTTATGCATGGACTAGCCCTTGATCTCACAAACTTTAGATTGAAAAGTGGACGGCCAAATTTTGCAGGTTTCATAAGTTCTACGCCCTCATCCCACCATCTACTTGCATAGAAATCTGTCATTATTCCGAGGCAGAGCTGCGTGGCTTGCCGTATGTCGTCAAACATTGACTGCTTATAATCGGTTGGTGTGATTCGCCAAAGCCTCAGCAGTTGACAGAGTACTACTCTGGTTGTGTTCTTTCCTTGTAACACTTAAATTGCTATCATAAATGTGAGTACTGAGCGATTTTCTAAATACAGCAGGAATTGAACTGTAGATATTGGAGTTCCAGAATAAACTCTTTATCCCCATTGTTGGCAACATGCGCCGAGAACAGAGAAGGGCTTTACAGATTTCTGCAGCTGCACCCACTTCGACATTCATGGTCTTCCTGAGGTAGTCCTTTCCTTCAGTAAAAGCTTCCAAGGTCGGAACCAACCACTGATTGTCACTTTTTCCTGAATGATTCTACCACCGCCTCCTCGCAGTGCTGATATGAGTTTTTTCTGTGTGATCTATCAGGCCAAAGTCTGGCACAGTTCCCCTCTCACCTGGAATGATCAATACGATTTATTCGGCTTTTCGTGAAGGCTGCACACAGCCTTAATGATACTTCCGAACGAATCTTTGACAAAGGTCCAACAATGGTCAGATGGTCTTTACTTCAGCGACGCTGACGAAGGCCCAGAGTTTTAATACTATAATAGCCAATAAATCAACGCTTCTCACAATATTTTTGTTTAAAATTTATTTTGTATTTAAAAGGCTTCTTTTGCCTTAGTAGGACCATAAATGGATTATGATGAAATATTATAGGTAATAACATGGTAGATTCTAGAGCAAAAATAAGTTGAGATTCTTGCAAAATTTACTATTAAATAACTGTAGTAGGATTGATACTTACTTGGAAGATGATTTTTTGTGAGATAAGGTCAAATTTTGATTAGAATGCATAAATATAACAATCTACAGAAAATAAATAATATTTTGAAAAATTAAGATACAATGTTAGAAAATCAATTCTAAGGTCCTCATTGGGCATGTAGTTTGTAGATTGTTTCATGGCCATAGTGATGCTGTCCTTGAATATGGCTTTGTATGTGCTCTTGTAGCTGTTTTCACCTAAAAAACAATTATGTGAGAAATTTTGAGTAGCAGATTTGATGTTGGCCCATTCAAGTAACATTGGAATTATGCTATTGGATTGTAACATACCATTGTTTCAAATTACAAAATCACAATTTATGGCAATTTCTTTGCAATGTTGCCTAACAAAGAAGATTAATTTCCAAAACATTATTAGGATGAAAACCACAATTCCAACACCAAAGTTGGTGCCTCCTCTTTTGGCTTGAACTTTCAACTATGGCTCTAAAGAAACATTTAGTCTGGACCTCCTACTATTATTGTTAATAATTTTAGTTACATAGACTAATATATAATCAAAGCAATTAGACACTGTTAAGGAATTTAAAGTTGTCATCTTGTATATTGTGATTATTATATCTTCTATACAAATATTGTTATGGCCTACAAACAAAGTACCTTGGCAAGAGGTAACTATTAATATAATACCAGTAGTTGAATGGATACTTTAGAAATCTTTTATAGTATAAATACCTTAGCACTAGTAAAGATTGTAAAAGAATAAGTAGGCATTGTAATTGTCATGAGTTTGTTGTTGCTCAAAGCACTCTTGAACAATATCACATTGCAACCTAATTTGATGCAAGTTAATGTGGAAAGAGCTCAAGCATACACATGTTGTGGACAAATCATAAAGATGAAAGAATTTTGTCTCCTTCAAATATTTGGCCATTTCTAGCCCCATGTCTGCCAAAGTTGTGATGTAATAAGCCAACACTTTTGCTCCCTTATTGCAAACATCCTTGATTCATTGAAACTTCTTCAAGAATGAAAAATCTAAAGCCTAAGTCATATTTTCTATACGTAAGCTCTTGCAAAATATGACCCTACTTGTAAGCATAGTGCCACCAATTCTTTCAATCATCAATCCTATCGAGGCTGCAACTAACTTAAGGAAGAGACTAATGAGGCTCAAAAACACATCTATTCATCAAATGGAAACCATTTAACCTTTTTTTAGAATGATTTTATAATAAGTAGCTACATAATACATCAAGACAATAATAACAATTTTTCTATGGGATAAAAGTTTGGCTCCAATTAAACTTAAAAAAAAAATAGTTGAGATAACTTATTTATAATAGGATATGGATAAGATATTTGTATTATTGATATATAGGGATAGATAATTGGAACCATGTTTAAAAAGTTATGGAAGTTTCTAGAATTGGGACTAGATTAATGGACCATGTAGGATCAACTGTGGAACATTTTAGAAAGAACTTAGTGCGGTTATCTAGGTGGGGCCTACCATAGAATCTTCTAGATAAGACTTAGGACGGTTATTTAAGTAAGGTCCACCTTATAACCTTTTAGAAAGAATTTAAGGTGGTTATTTAAGTAGGGTCTATCATTTAGGAACATTCTAAAAAGTCCAAGGTGGTAGAATATGTATAAATAGGACTTGCCAAGGCCTTTTGGGCATTTGATTAGGTATGGCTTCAAATCTTTTGTCTTCATAAAGTTTGGTTTTGCATCTTAATGTTTAGTTTTGTTTTTTCTTATTTCCATTTGCAAAGTTTTGTCTTTTGTGTCCTATTCTATTTATTTCTGTTCAGTTTTGTTCTAGTCCATTTTGTCTTAAGTGTAATAAGATTTTATATTGCTATAGATTGAAAGAGACTTATACTCTCAAGATAGATTGGTCATGTTTCATTGTCAAGTTAAAAAGTAGATTTGATATTATCTTAAAATTAAAAGATAAATTTATTATTATAAAAAATACATGGATATTTTTAATTTTTTAATATATTTCAAGGATATATGTGATATTTTTCTATATAAATATATCTATATACTTTAAACTATATTAATATAATTTCCTATAAGGAATCTTGTACATGCACTCTTTCATTTCATCAAATTTAAATCTCATATCAAAAGTAAAATATCCTTGAAATATAAATCTCACCAATTAAATATAAAGGAAAAAAATAGAGAGAAAACTCTAAATGACAACAAGTCCTGCCAAAAGACATGGTAAGCCACAAGATGTCATCTACCCATTACAAAAATCACTACCCTAACAACCAAACTTATTATACAATGACCACAATAATATGTTCTAAGCTCAAAAAACAAAAGAAAAACAAAACAAGGTTGTGGTCATCATTGATTGACTAAAAAACCCACAACCTCATGGTGAGGAACAATACCAAATATCTCAGTTTTGGCAGCATGGGTGGATGGATAATCTAGCTCTCTTTCTTTTTCTTTTTTTCGTTTTTTTTCCTTCTAGCTTGGGAACTCCGCTTTCCACACATAGCGAGCTCCTTGAATCCACCACTAAATCTAACCCACAAACTTATTTCCACTTTTGGTCAGTTCGGTATGGTTTCCAAATGATCCCCCCCCCCCAAGGCTTGGGTACAGGATCTAAAGTTGCCAACTCATCTAATTAAGTAAGTAAGTTGTGCCATCTGGCAGACAATTAAGCACATCTGGAATTAGAACTTTAGAAGTGAGTGGCCGAACGGCCTCCACATCGAGAACGGGCGTGATCAAATTGGACGGGCCGGGCGGTGGAGCCCGTCCCAAGGTAGAGATTGGTGCCTTGCCTCCGTGTTAGTAACAACCCGTAAATGGACTAGTGAGGGTTTTGGTCTTCGCGCGGAGGCCCGGCCGGCGGCCCCGAGAATCGCTCGGCCAGGAATTGTGGCTCCCGTTGGCCGCGCTAGTTGCGTCGCGGAGGTCGGCCATGAGCGAATATGGATCGAGCAATTTTTCTGTGCGCATGGAAGGCGTGCAGCGGCTTCCTGTGCGCCCTGATTTGTCCTTTGCCTGTCCCCCTTTACATCTGTTCCTCATAGGTTGCAATTAAATGGGGGGCTATCTTGTACCTTTGTTTGGTTGGATGGATTCACGGTCGTGTGCAGCATGTGGAGCTCAAATTACTGGCCATCGCGCTGCTGGCAACTGGAAAACTAAATCCCTTCACCCTCGGGGATGTCGTTGTTGCGAAGGTGTAGGTGCTTGCGCTGGGAGACCAATTGACGGGCGTGGTGGAGTGGAGGAGAAATGGTAGCGGAGAATTTGTGTCAAGAGGGAATACAGAATATGGTAGAAGTTGGTGCAGGGGAGCTTGGAAGTGGTTGATGCGGGAGTGCAGCCGGAGGTTGTGGAGAGAGTTGTCGTCGGAGAGAGTTATTGAAGTAAGGATTTGGGAGGAGTTCTGGTTGAGTGGGTTGAGTGGGTGTGAGGAGAGATGGCGGTTGATACGATGATGAGTGTGGAGGTACCCGTGATTGGAAGACGGTCCATGAGCATTGAAATGCCAACCAATGCCGGTAGACGGTCCATGAGTGTCGAGCAGCCCTACAACCCTGCGAGACGGTCGATCAGCACTGAAATGCTGAATTCGAAGAGACCGGGGAGGTCTAGTCTAACTTTGAAGCGAAGTACGAACGAGTGGTATACAATTCTCCCAATTCTGATTCCAAGTTGGTCTCTGGTTTGCTTAACTCCGGGGCCCTTGCGCCCTGTTCGCTGACGTTCACCTCTCGGTCCTCCATGAACAATCCTGATATCTCACTATCTGCACGCCCACCTCCCACTGGCTACCGGAACCACTGTTTCTTCTACTCGTGGTCTTGCACTGTTGTTACTATATCACCTGCAGATTAGTTCATGCATCGATTATGCAATTTACTCAGCTGTGAGATACAGCATGTAGAGTCGTCCTGGTTGCATTTTGTATTGGAGGTAGACAATGTGTCCGTGAGAATGATCAAAACTTGTGTACAGTTTTATTCCAGGAATTTCTCCCTGCATGGAGATGTAGCGGCTGGAAGATTTGTAGTAGTCATGATCCAATAGGCGCGCATTCCCTCTCTGAGAAGCCTCAATTTTGAACTTTCATGATTTTGCGATTGGAAGGATAACAATTTTTATTTCTATCAATTCTACACCTCAGATACCGTCGTCGTGAAGCAGGCCTGTCATTGTTTAGAGACATAAGGGTAGCGCTGATATATTACAATTGCGGTTCTAAACTTGATGCCATGGTCCTGCAGGCGCGTGTCTTCAGATGCTCCTACTGACATTGTTGTTGATGTTGGTGGTCAGAGCTTCGCTGTGCACAAGGTATCCTACAATCCATATCTTGCAAAACCCTTACCTGCAATTTAGACAAGTATAACTTCCACGTTCTGGATACGATATCCACTGATTTATCATGTCATACCATGAGACAGATTTGTAATTTGTTAGATTGTCTGTAATATTATATAAAATTTCTAAGTGAAACACACGGATTGTGTCTGAAGAGTCCAACGAGTAAAGCGACGCATTAAAAAAAGAGGGTGAAGAATGTTTGCAATTGGAATTGTCGATTGCTAGTCTATTGGGCAGGACATCCGTGTTCAAACTGAACGATAGTGGATCAGATTTCTCAGAAATATCCCAAATAAAGCTCCATGGGTCTCACAATGTCTCCTTGTATCCAGATGCGACCTAAGCAAGAATTTTCTGTCCGTTGTTGTCAAGAAAACATGTAATCGGTTCTTTCTGTGCTGCATTGTTCAGTGTGCTCTGGTCGCACGAAGCGGGAAAATTAGGAGGTTGGTAGCTTGTGAAAGAGCCAATGAAGATGGAATTATTCACCTGCAATTAGCCGATCTGCCAGGCGGATCCGAAGCTTTCGACTTGGCAGCCAAATTTTGTTATGGTATCAATTACGATATCACCACATACAATGTGGCCCTACTCCGCTGCGCAGCTGACTATCTGGAGATGAACGAACAATGGGGTGACAATAACTTGGTGGACCGCACCGAAAAATTCCTCAATGAATATGTCCTACAGAACCTTGCAGAATCTATCGCTGTGCTTCACAACTGCGAGAGTTTACTTCCGCTTGCTGAGGATCTTAAACTAGTCAACAGATGTGTACAGGCAGCAGCGGTCAAAGCAGTCAGGTACGGTTACACAGTGCCGTAAGTTATTGCTATCATCACACGAAACTGCGCTAGGCCGAAAATAGGTTTCATAACATGAAGAACAAGTAGAATCCTGTGAACAGTTAATCTATTTCTCACATCCTCATTGTTCCTACCCTCCAGGGAACAGATCGGAGGGGGGTTAAATCGTTCAGAATTCGATGGTTCCTTGCGTTTGGACAACGCGAAGCCTGCATTCAATGATAGCCCAGCTGCGCCCGTCGTGGAATGGTGGGCTGAAGACCTCGCCGTTCTCCGCTTCGACTTCTTCCAAAGAGTGCTCACTGCGATGAGAACTAAAGGTTTGCGTTGTGAGAGCCTTGGTGGAGCTGTAATGCATTATGCACATCGTGCTCTGAAAGGAATACACAAGAGACAGACAATGAAATCGCCCAAACCTCAGGTATTGTTAATCCCTCCTGGGCTCATGGTTCCAGCTGATTAGATGTCGAATTGCGAGCGTTTTGTTTTAGGTAATATAATTCACTGTTTTTTCTAGAGGATTCGTGAAACTATGTTGAACCGATTAGTAGTTAAGTCCTCTGATTCAAGATCAAGGACGCTACAGTTTGATGAAACTCCACTTCACTTCAACAACCACAGTGCTACATATTCTAGCTTTGCATTGGTTCGAGGGACTCCTGATCGCTTTCTCGAGATCATCCCGTGATTGGTACTTAAATGGTGTCTTTTACTTCCAGATTCATTCTCCCGCCTTGACTCTGGAGCATGAACAACGAATTTTAGTGGAGGCGATTGTCAGCATCTTGCCACCAGAGAAGACCGCAATATCTTGCAGCTTCTTGTTTGGACTGCTTCGTGCAGCTGTCGTTCTGGAGACCACCTTAGCTTGTCGCCTCGACCTTGAGAGACGCATTGGTTTACAACTGGAGCAAGCTACTCTGGATGATTTGTTAATTCCTTCTGCTAACCACAACGTAGACACACTCTTCGATGTGGATGCAGTGCAACGAATTTTGAACTGCTTCATGCAGCAAGACGGCGCCGAAGACGTTGACGTAAGATAGCAGACTTGAATCTTACGTGTGAATCTGATTCCCCTTGTTTCAGTGGCTTTACGTTAATATCATATTCTAGTCAGCTTCGTTTGTTGTCGACTGATTTAAGTAGTAGTGTTATCAGAGAGGATCAGGATTAAACTTCTTCAAAATCATCATGCTTCTTTGCTTGAACTGCAAGTTGGATCATCAAACATTCAAGGTACTGACTGAGTCAATTCATGTGGAATCTAACGGCTTAGCTGTATTACCTACAGGACACGCATCCTATGTACGATGTCGAAGGCGCAGGTTCTCCTACGCATAGCGCACTTGTGAAAGTTGCGAAACTATTGGACACTTACCTGGCTGAGATTGCACCAGATGCGAATCTAACGATGAACAAGTTCATTACACTTGCTGAAGTGTTGCCGGAGCATGCGAGAACTGTTGACGACGGGTTATACAGGGCGGTTGATGTATTCCTCAAGGTGCATCCTAGCTCATAAAGCATTGATTCTTCGTAGTGCATGGAAAACGAAACCTTGTACCACGAAAACCTTGAGTCATTTAACCCACGGAAAGGAGGCGTAAGTCAGTACAATGTTCTGTTCATAATTATTCCTTGCAGCTCCAATCAGGCCGATGATTCCACACGCTAATGTGTACCTCACTGAAATGACCCAGGCACATCCAGCAATATCCGACGCGGAGCGCAAGACCTTGTGCAAGCTCATAGACTGTAAAAAACTTTCCCAGGATGCTTGCACGCATGCTGCCCAGAACGAGAGGCTTCCAGTCCAAGTTGTTGTCCAGGTTCTTTACTTCGAACAACTGCGCCTGCGAAATGCCATGTCCTCAATTAATAGCAGGGATCCGGCTTTACGCCACCAACTCTCTCAAAGGATGACAGTTGGAAATCTCACCGGTTCACAATCACCTAACGAAAACTATGAGTCGGTGCGGAGGGAGAATCGAGACTTGAAGCTTGAAATCGGGCGGATGCGCATGCGCCTCACCGAACTAGAAAGAGATCAAACCAACATGAAAATGGATATAGTCAAGAGCGGTGGAGGGACTAAATTCATCGACTCCGTATCCAAGAGGATCAGTAAACTGAACCCCTTCCTCCGTCGCGAGTCAAAGGACTTCAAGAACAACGGCTATCTCGCCGCGAACGGTAACAACATCCCTCTCACCCCAGATAACCGCTCCGTGAAACCTCGAAGGCGTCGGCATTCCGTCTCATAGCCATTCCATAGCACCGTCCAAGACAGCGTGGAACCTCTTTGTAAAAATGTCATTTTTGAGCTCTAGCACAGGGAAAGCCAAGTCCCGTTTTCGTTTCCTGTCGAGCCTGAAGAATCCTCCTCCAGTGTTGAAGCCCTTCGAGGAAGTCCAGAGATACGGCAACAGGCTATTCGAGGTTCGAAACTACGAAGAGAAAAAACGCAAGCTCGCAGGTGATACCGTCGATTGGTACAACAACACTTCACGCACAACAGCCAACCCTATAAACCCCTGTACCATTAGGCACCATTCACCCTAAACTGTACAATCGACGTGAGTTTATCCTTCTGCTTGTTCTTTATGCACATCTTCATGCAGCTAGCCCGCTTCGTCCAACACACTGTAAGGCGTTAGCTTGGAGCAGTTTATTATCCTACTGTTGTGCAACCTATAATTGATCACAACAGTAATGTTAAGTTAATTTATCCGATATTTCAGTAGCACGCATGGGTTTTATATTTCATTCTCCTATTACACCACAAAAGGTTGTCCAAAGGTTTTCAACTTCCGAGTAAAATCGTTGGAATGGATCACCATTTCTGCTTACTTTAACACTGTTTGTCCACCAGAATATCACATCGATTGTCAAATGATTGACTCGGAAGAGTAGATTTAATTTTAAAATATTTCACTGATATTGTCTACAACTATAATTAATGTTACAGTGCTGTTATGGACTATGAACCCGATTTGACTGACGGTTAGGGACTATTCCAACAGGAAGTACTGAAATGGGTTTTAACTTATTTCAACTTTTCTACTGTGCCTTGATCAAAACATATTTTGTTTGTCATTACTGTTGCTGTTATTTTATTATTTGATTTATAAAAATTAAGCTTTCATTGTTGCACATCAATGTTATGATTGTTCTTTATTAATGGAAAATGATTCTAACATGGTAATTAAGCATAAAATGTGCACTACTAAGGTGTGAATTGCTAAACGAGTATTTGGAAAGAGATCCAAGGAATCACTACAAAGTATATTTAATATAATTTTAATTATTTAGGATTCAATATCTCAAGGGACTTATTTCTTTGGATTGATTTTAAGAAGCTTTTTAAACTCATTTTATTTAGAGTTTTTAAGAAATACCTTTTGGATTGAAGCAACTTTTGTCTTTGGACAATTATCACAAAAAGATTGCAAAAAGATTAAAATAAAAAATGATGCTTTTGATGCATTTATAGCTTTCACATACTTAAAATTTAAGTTGTTGTTGGCCAGTAGAGGCAAAACATTATGGCTTTGCCAATCTTATGTTTTATAAACAACTTTCTTTTAAAGATTGTATCAATTTGAAGAATATTGATACTATATTCAATAATATAATAAAATTAAAGATACTTTGATTTAATGAATGTGAGAATTTAGAGGATACACCTTTCAAGTTAAAATATAACTTAAATTTTTATCTTTAAAGTTATTTATAAAAATAAAGATAAATATCCAAGAAAATGCCTTTAAATTTTTGACATATTTGACATACTTAGATACTCAGACTTAATTGATTGTAATCAAGTGGAGATAATATACAATGACTTTTCTAATCTTGTATATCTTGAGCTTTATGAATGGTTGTTAAAAAATGGAAGGTATTCATAATGCCTTTGCTAATCTTATATTTCTTAAAAAATGAATTCTTAGATATTGTACCAATTTGAAAAAGATCCATTTTAAATTTAATTACGTGAAAAACTTAAAGACCTTGTAGTTTAATAGATGCAAAAATTTAAAAAATTAATATTAATTTTATATCACAATAAGTATTAATTAATGATTTCTTTATACATAATTTTAAGACATGTCAAGGACATGAATATCAAAGAAAGAAATCCTCAATACATGCTTGTGACATTGAAAAGAACTAAAAAATCACTCAAAGATGATATATTATTGAACTAGAATGACTATTGCCAAAAACAAAAAGACTAGAAAGTCTAGATACAAGACTAAGGACTAGAAAGGTATTGACAAGAGTGAAGAAGGCTTCACTTTTGCCTCCATATATACTCTTAACTAGGAGCTACATGGCAATTTCCTGTAGGACCTCCAAAATGTGTTGACTTTGCAAGTCACATATCTTAACTTGCAAGGCAAGTTTTTATATGTGTACCACATAGTTAGCTTCCTCTGCAAGCTACCAACATGTAGTTAACTTGTTGACTAAATTTTTAGCCTACCAATCAACAACAAACTTATGTAAAGCCAAAGTATCATCTATAAAGCTTCTAGGAAGCTTTTTATAGAAGGTATTATGGAACTAATCTATTTTTATCTACTTTTACCTATTTCTACCTAATTATATAGGTATTTACTAGGATATTTATATGTATCTATGACATTACCTCCTTTCTAAGAATAAGTTCTATGAAGAGTGGTTATCATGTATTGATGAAATCGAAGATGCAACAGATTATATTTACAACATATTCTGATCTTTATTTTCTTCAAAGATGGTTGATATGTCCTCTCAGCCATTGATAGTGTTTCATACTAGGGCAAAAAGACTACCATGTTATTTGATCATTGTTGAGGCCTTGGTAACTTCTTTCGAATAAAATATTTAAAACATTGTCAAGAATTGTTTCTACCTCTAATAAAATCACCAAACATCAAGACTCTCTTTCAAAGTTGTGATATTAAATATGTTATATCTCGTCATCTATTGAAGGAAGGACATGTCATTCTTGAAGATCTTCATTTTGATTACATTATCTTGAAGGTTGTGAAAATTGCAATATCTTGTTTGATAAGTCAACAAATAAAAGCTCTTGAGTTGAACTTGATGGTTGTTAGTTCTCTATTTCTTTAGCGTCACAAATATACAGAAGCTATAAAGAAGGATAGAAGGTATAATATTATCTTCCTTTGATCTTGTTTCTTTTATAGCAAAGATTTGCTATTTTTTATCTTGGTTTTGATAGATGTCATCAATAAAAAGCTTCAACTATCTTTGCTACATTTGCAAGATTCTTTGTTGGCTCCTATGTGCATTTATTAATATCATATCTACACCAATGAAGAAGATATTTCAACCTATTTTGGCACCGCCTTAAATCTAAAACTTATTCAACCTTGAATTCTTGATTATTATCCATTTCTATAGAAAGAGATGGTATTTGACTTCTTCCCAAGATATTCATTGTTTTATATGATTCAAGAAGTGATATATAAAATACATAGTAGATCTTTATAGATTCTAGTAGATGTAATCAATAAGTAATAGGATTGATTTATTTACTAATAGAAAAAGGTCCAAGCCTATGATAATCTAACTTATCACAAAGACGGGTAGTCTTGATTTTGCGACAAGCTAATTGTACCTTGTCACTTACATTGAATTATGATTATTCTTTGTAATAGGCATCTATATTAATCTTTTTTTGTTCTTGAACTCCCTTTAACTATGCCTTTAGTGTTGCATATAGCTCTGATAGGCAATTTGCTAAATCTTTTGCTACAGGATTATTAACTTTTGAAAAGTCAAAAGTATTAAGTCATGGATGATAATCATAATTGGCAAAGAATGGTGTTTTTTGAGTGGAAGAATGTACTAAATTATTTTATGCAAACTTTGCTAATAGTAAAAGAATTGTACAACCATCTTGATGATAGTTGATGGTACACCTCAAATATTGCTCCAAAACCTGATTCATCCATTTTTTTTGTCCATTAGTTTGAAGATAAAAAGTCAAAGAGAGCTTTATATTCCCTTTAAAATCTTAAAAAGGATTCTCTAAAATCTTGATATAAATTGAGTCCCTCCATCCAATATAATATCTTTAGGCAATCCATGATAATGATAGATGTTGTTAAGAAAAAGCTTAGCGATTTTTTCACCCATGATATATTTTGTACATGGTACAAAATTTGCCATCTTAGTGAAAAAATCTACTACTATAAATATAGAATCATACCAATCTAAGATGAAAAGATCGATGATAAAATTTATAGAAACAATAGACCATGGTTGTTTTGAAATAAGTAATGGCTGAAGAAAACTATAAGGTCAATGGCAAAGAATTTTGGATCTTGAACAAATATCATAGGATTTTGCAAAGTCTTTGACTATCTTTTATATTTGAAGCCACCATAAAACTCTCAATATTAGTTCGAAAGTCTTATTGTATCCAAAATGTCCAACTGTTAGAAAGCCATGACGATTTTGAAGAACATATAATTATGCTCCCCCCCTTTTTGAATATATAATCAACTTTCAAAATAAAGTAGATTGTTCTTGAACTTGAATTTGGAAGTATTATGAGACTTAAAAGAATTATTTTTATTATCATAGATAAGAAGATTAGACGACATACTTGATTGAATTTGCTTAACAATAGTTGAATTAATAGTCAATGTTGATTTTTTTGCTCAAAAATGAAAATGTTTCAGCTTCAAGAGAATTATTTTTTATTAATCAAAAGATGCATCTCTTTCTTTTGGTGCAAGATAAGAATTTCTTGAAAGGATGTCTGACAAATCTTATTTTTTTTAGATTGATAAGTAATCTTGAAATCAAAACTTAATAAAGACATATTCTAGCAAGCTTAACAACAATTCAAAATACGTATCAATATAAAGCACTCAAGGTTCTTGTGATCTATACACACAATGATTAGGCTTGAGGTGTCTTTTAAATAATGATGCCATTCTTAAAATGAATCCATGATTGCAAAGAATTTTTTGTTATAGATTTCATAAATAATCTAAAAAATTTCTAGAATGAAAAGCTACTAGATGGAGTTTGTCATTTGCTTTCATTTGAAATAATATTACACTCAAGGCAAAGTTTTATGCATGTGTTTCCATAAAAAATGCCTTGAAGAAGTCAACATGATATAAGACTAGTATAAAAGTAAACTCCTTTTTTAAAGCATTAAATGATGTTGTGGCTTTTTTATTCTACTCAAGTTTGTCTTCATAAGTCAAACATGTAAGTAGAGCTATAACTTGAAAAAAATTCTTAATGAAGATAAGATAGTAATTGGCGAAGTCCAAAAAGCATTGCATGATTCTTATTATTTTTGGAATCTTCCAATCTATGATAGTCTAGACCTTCTTTGGATCCATCATTAGTCCTTTGTTAGAAATGATGTATCTTAAGAAGTCAACTTGAATAGTATAGAAAACACACTTTTCTAATTTGGTATATAATCTTACATTTCTAAGTTTTTGTAATACATGAAAAACATAAACTTCATGCTCTTTTATATTTTTAGAATAAATTAAGATATCATCTAAATAAAAAATGACAAAATTATCAAAAAATTCACAATAGATATTATTCATTAGATGTTGAAAAGTAGTTGGTACATTTGTGAGTCTAAAAGATATGATATAATATTCAAAATGTCCATATTTGGTTTGAAATATAATTTTCTATTCATCTCCTTCTTTAATGAATATTAGATTATATATTTTTTTTAGATCAATTTTTGTATAGATCTTAACTTGATTCAATTGATTAAGAAATCTTAAAATTATAAATGGAGGATACCTATTCTTGATGGTGATCTTATTAAATCTTCAATAGTCTATACACATCTACA